CTTTAGACTACCTTTGTTCCCTTTAGAGTACCTTTAGTCTATCTTTGTTCCCTTTGTTCCCCTTCTAACAGCTGGTTCTACCGTAGAATACCTTTGTTCCCTTTCGAATACCTTTGTTCCCTTTAGAATACCTTTGTTCCCTTGCATTATTTACATTGGAATTCCTTCCTCAACCCTTCTAATGTTTCTCGTCCTTCCTGGTCTCAGCTGACCGAGACGTCGTCTCGCTACGCCCGTAAGATTTCGGGCACCACGGCGCTGCAGGAGGCCCTGAAGGAGAAGCAGCAGCACATCGAGCAGCTGCTGGCCGAGAGGGACATGGAGAGAGCCGACATGGCCAAGGCCACCAGCCACATCAGTGATGTGGAGAAGGACCTGAGCATCCTCAAGGTGCAGCACGTGCAGGTATGAGACGAGATGTTGTACTCGGCCTTTCTGTTGATGCGTTCGGCACAAACCAAACCGCCAGCATAACTTATGGAACATTAAATATCGTCTTCCTGTCCCCAGTACATATCGGAGAACGACAGCACCCTGCAGCAGGTCAAAGCCGTGCTGGCCAGCACTCAGAAAGATAAGCTGGAACTGACCAATCAGCTGGAAGAAGAGAAAAGGTAATCAGTCTCTCTGTAACAGTGCAGGTACCTGAGTCTTTACAAGAATGGATTCTCAAATATTCCTGAAGATCTTTGGAGAACAAGCTTGTTACAAGGAGGGAAAGTCAACTCTTATAGGTGCTAGCTAGAACCATTTAGAGTTCTTTCATCATCGTAGAACCCTTATTGTTTCCTACTAGAGCCTTTTATAAAGGTTCCAGCTGGAAGACTTTCCGAGGGTTCTGCCTAGAACCAACATAAAGGGTTCTACCTGGAACCATCTGTGAAAGGAGAACCACGCCTCCATTAGAGGGTCTACATTGAACCTTTCCATGGTGATTTAGATCCATCTAGAACCTTTCCACCTTCCAACAAGGAGCCACCCAAGGGGTTCTACCGAGAACACTTTTATATTCCAAGGGTTTGATCTAGAACCCACCCAGATAGGGGTTTGTTCCTGCGTCTTATGTTTCAAACTTCGTCACAATTTTACATTTTTATCATCATTTCAAAACAAAATTCCTTCATTTCTTCTTTTTCAGGAAAGTGGAGGACCTCCAGTTCAGAGTAGAGGAAGAGTCCATCACCAAAGGAGACCTGGAGGTATTCATCCACATAATTAAAACCTATAAACTCGATCAATATTAGAATAAATGTACCTGCACATGCTAAAATCCAGTGTATCCTTTAATATCATGGACCCTGAGAATAAGATCTATAAGGGTTTATATACATGCAGAGAAGAGCGTAACGTCTTTTGGATGCACAGAGCACATGCACACATTTAAAAAGAGGTTTAGAGAGGATGATGTGGGTGTGAACCCTTCTCAACATCTGATTGACAGCTTCTGCTCTCAGCGCGCCGCCTGCTTACCTCAGCTATACGCTGTTTCATGGAAACAGCGCCGCGGCGTTCTGCTGCAGCATTATTTAAGGGCAAAAGTCCGGCAAGGATTTAAAAGCCGGCTGACTTCAATGAAGACTCATTTTTAAGCTATGCAGTAAAGTGTGAAATCCATGAGAGACGGTGCTCCACCTGTCCTCGCTCCTGTGTGTCACTCCACAAAGAACCTGCATGAGACGTAAATACTGCATTCAGCCGAAATATTGCACCGTCTACAGTAAAGTGACTGAAGTATTCTACATGTTTTTAGACAAAAGGATAAAGAGTGCTACCTGAGGATACAGACTGGGGATATTTTATCATTTTTATATTTGTAAGTAAGTCACATGAGAAGACGAAACCCATTCTCACTTCCCTACTTTGTCTGTGAAGCTCATCATCAAAAATATGTATTTACTTATTTATTACCTCAGTAAACATTGTAAACATGAGTTTATGGTCTCAATCTCTAGTTTCAAGTCTTCTTCAATACAGCATGATGTTCATTTAGTACATTATGGTCCATTTAGAGTCACACAGACCATAAAGCAGGGGATGCTTTAGGGCGGGGCTACACGGTGATTGACAGGTCTCTCCCACGGCGTTGAGAGTTTTCCGTGTTCCCGTCTTACAACTTTTACTCTTTCACAGTGTTTTCACTTCACGAAGGTTAATTGTAATGTTTTGGTCGCCAAACAAATGTCTTATTCAGCGTTTGATGTAGTTATAAACCATATTCTGTCACTTCTGGTTGCAAAAACAACAAAATGGTGACGGCCAATTATTTGTTGTGGCTCAAGGTGGGGCGGCGCCCTCTATTGACCAGACGACTGATCCAGTTGGTTATCTTTACCGTAATACCTTGAATATGAGTGCAGGCTGTATTTCATTGGCTGCAGGGATCTCAAGGCTCTGATTTCCTGAACAGACTAAATGTCTCCAGCAGAGTTGTCCCTCCCTAAAAAAAAGGTCAGAGCCTAAATCTCTCCTGGTCACATGATCAACTCTGACCTCTATCATCCCCCTCGGATCTGTATGGCTCTTTTTTTTCTTTCTTCTTCTTCTTCTTCCTCCTCCTTTCTCTCAGTCTCTTGTTCCTCCCTGTCTTTCTCTTTGTCTCTGTAGACTCAGAGGAAATCGGAGCGCGGCCACATTCGTCAGCTCGAGCAGAGTCTGCTCCTCGAAAAGTCGAGAGCAGAGGTGCTTCAGAGAGACTTAGAGAAGAGGAGGGTAAAAACGCACCTCTGCCTGTAGCCCGTGTGCACCTGTTTGCTTCTGTGTTGATAGTGACGTGATGTGTCCCAATTCATATCAAATCAAACTAGAGATCATTTAAAATCAGTACACATATAACAATCCCGTAATCTCAGTTATTATTTTTAATCTAAGGCTTTGGATCAATTCATTGCCTTTTTTTCTTCCTTGGGATTTGTTGAAATAAGAAAAATGTGATATTATTTCCAGCGTTATCTTTTAAAATACATGTCAGAGATATGTTGTTGCGTAAAGTATTTTGAAGGGCACTCCGCCAAAGCCGCTTCCATGAGTAAAAAATTAAGCGTATACGTGATTCGAATCTACTCCAAAATGTAATATGTTCTTCTTTCCACCAAGCTTCAGAAAATCAGGCCAGTAGTTTCACCGTAATACAGCTGACAAACAACCGAAAACATAACGGTCCTTGGCGGAGGTGAAAAGCCTGAATGTCAGTAGATTATTGAAAATCACATAAACAGATATGCAGATTGATTTCATCCTCGTCTTCATCCTCTCCTTCATTGCTTCATCGTATCATGAGTCGCAGTGATAACGCTCCCCACTGTCGACCCAGCGCTTCCCCTCACACATCAGCTGCTTCAGCCGCTGCTGCTATTCTTCTTTTAAATTGTGATATATCTTTTTTCATTATTTAAAGGTTGGCCTTCGGATCAGCTGCCAGCTGCATTTTTAAGATGCAACATTCATGAACGTTCCATTTTAGCTCTGGAGAACGAGCTCATGTTTTGATGGTAACACACGAGACCTTCAGCTAAACTGTTGATGGGATTCATCGCTGGTTGTCAGATGAACCCCGGTGGTTAATCTCATTCACCAGGATCTCCTCTCCACCGCTTTCACCTGTAGGGCTGATCTTCACAGTGACAGAGAACGGTGTCACAGATCAAACCGTCCCAGTTTGTCCTCTCGATTTACAGGAATCAAAAGATAACAAAACACTTTGAAACACTGGATTTTTTACTTCTTTTTTTAATGCAGTGAGGTCTGCTTCTGCCAACAGGGAGGATGCTCCCATGATGCAGTATCCTCAAGGTTGGGTAAGAGAACCAAGGTGAAGAACAAAAAACAACAAAACCAACAGATTTGATCTTGTTTTGGCTTTGATCTCAATTCTTCAACTTCACGTCGACTTCAGAAGCTGTCAAGGACATTAATCCTGCACCGACTCTTCTTGCTCTTCTACTCTGTGTGTTTGTGCCTTAATCTGAATGCTCTTCAGACAACTTCTGTGATCAACTGGTAGCTCTGAGGTCTGGTAGATTGTCTTCCCAGACGACTCCTGTGCACTGTGCAGCTCCTCTTCCCCCATCTGTTATCTGGAGTGTGTGCAGGATGTCTGTGTGGACCTCTTTGCTGTTTGCTTTTTATTTAATACACATTTGCTTGGCCGCTTCTAGATGATCAGAGCATGGCTGTGCTCTCCTCTCATCTTCCACTTCTCTGCACATACAGTGTGAGCTGCACAGATATTTTGGACAGTGACACGTTGACCCCTTTGGCTCCGTTTCTGTCTCTGGATGAAGATGATTCAATGAGTGACGGGGCGGCCAGCTCTAAATACCAGGACAGCGGCATCATAACAATGAGGATAATGGTTTGTTTTGACATCCGTTTGTGAGACGCAAACCCAAAGTGGTGCCAGCATGTTGATGGGACTCCTCTAGAATAATAAGCACCTATAGCTCTGACCTGCTAGAACAAAGGGTACATTCAGAGGACTTAATAATAAAAATAATAATAATACGTTTATTTACCTTTCAAGAGCGGACGTCACAAAGTTCTTCACAACCAAAGGCAGAATAACTAAAAGACAAAATGTCCAGATATTAAGCTAAAAAAATAGAATAAACTGAACGAAATCAATTCTAAACAAATGGATCCTGAGCTGGATGGATCCACAGTAGAGTTACAGTAGATATCACCAGTGAAATACTTACATTAAGACAATTCTTTTTGTATTACAAGTTTTCTGAACTTACATGTTTAAATATGCAAATGAGGCATTATGCAATGGTAACTTCTGGTGAATTTAGGAGAAATCTACAGACGTAAATAGACAAAGTAGTGAAATAAATCGTTCCTCTAGTCTGAAAGAAGACGTGTTGTGAAAGCAAAAATGACCAGAATCTCATAATTGATGCATGAAAAACAACGTGTCTCACATCTTGTAGTGTTTTGTAACTAATTGGAACATTAAAACACACGCTGTAAGTTAGATCTGCATAAATACTGACCACGAAGAGATAAAAAGTCTGTTCCTCAGTCCTTGTGTCATCTTGTATCTTAGGAGTCCAGCAGGGAGCCAAAGGGATCCAGTTTGTCACTGTCCACATGCTTAATCTCATTTATTTGTACTCTACGTTCACTGGAATGCACTTCGTCTCCACCCTCACACGGATCTTCAGGGGGTTTCCCTCTGAGGCCTGATTTCTGCTCTTAAAAGTCAGCTTTGTCTTTTCTCTGGAATGACGTCGTTGACTTGCAGGGTCTCCCACCTGTTGCGTTTAATAATGTCGTTCTTTTCAAAAAGGCCGACATCTTTCCTGCCGCAGTGATGGATGTTGTGTTTTTTTTTTACCCGCCAGCAAACCACAGTCGAAGAGCAGAGTCGTATCATGCAGCTGGAGCAGGAGCTCAGCCTCAGGAGAGCCGAGATGGAGAACCTCCAGACCAAACTCAGGGGGTCCGACCCGAACTCGCAGGGGGCCGACGACGGCGACGCGGCCCCGGGGCCTGAGGCCCATCCGGAGACCCTGGTCCTGCGTGCGCAGCTGGTGTCGGCGGGCCGCGAGCACAGCAAGGAGAGCAGTGAGCTCAAGGAGAAGTACGAGGCGGCGTTGGCGGCGAGCCGGCAGGAGAGAGACTCGCTGAAGGCGGAGGTGGAGAAAAGGAGCCAGGAGGTCAGTGAGATGAAGCAGAAAGTCCAACAGGCCACCAAGGAAAACGTGGAGATGATGGACACCTGGAAGGTATTCTGCTTTATTTCTGTTTGAACACATTACAAACTACTTCAGTGCAGCTCTGTGAAAGTATGCATGCTCACCAAGATCACAAAGCAAGGATAAGAATGTTGATTTTAAATGATGATTTCAGATTTCAGTCACATTAAATTAAAGGCAGGGTTGGTAATCTTGCTAGATTTTTAAAACGAACCAACCAAAAAACTCCAATGTAGCCTCCATGAAACTATCAAAACATGAGATATGGATTCCTTCCTTCTCTCACGTACAGACAGAAACTGCTGGTTCTTTAAGTGAAGTCAGTGCTTCATGTGTTAAAGCTGCATTCTCTCTAATGTCCACCAGGGGGCGACTCCTCTGGTTGTATAGAAGTCTATGAGAAAATGACTCTACTTGTCTCTTGATTTATTACCTCAGTAAAAACATTGTAAACATGAGTTTATGGTCTCAATCTCTAGTTTCAAGTCTTCTTCAATACAGCATGATGTTCATTTAGTACATTATGGTCCATTTAGAGTCAAACAGACCATAAAGCAGGGGATGCTTTAGGGCGGGGCTACCTTGCCACAGATTCCAGAATTGTTTCACAGTGAGGATGGAATGTCTTCGATGAACATTACCAATCCAGCCTTTAAGGGTTTTTTTCCAGATAAACACAACCAATATAAATTCTCCTCACTTCCCTCTGCAGGTTAAATTCAACACTCTAACGATCAACCACCAGCGTTCCTTGGAGGAGCTGAAGGCCTCGTTGCGTAGCGATCACCCAACTCCAGAGGGCTCAGAGCAGGACGCCCAGGAGCTGAGAGCCGCTCTGGAGAGCCTGAAGACGGAGCACCAGCTGGAGGTGGAGAACCTCAAAGCCAAACACAAGATCGAAGCCGCCATTCTGACCAAGGAGCGCGAAGACTTCTGCACTCGCCTCCAGGAGGCCAAGGACCAGCTGGCCGAGGGCAACCAGGCGTGGAGCGCCGAGGCTCAGGCCAACGGCGGCAGGCGGCCCCTGGAGGAGGCGACCGATAAGCTGCAGAAGGCGGAGCAGAGGCTGGCGGAGATGGAGAAGCTTCGGATGGAGCAGGACAAAAGCACGGAGCAGCTGAGAGAGCGGCTGGAGCTGTCGGAGAAGAAGATGGCGGACTATCGGGCTCTGCAGAAGGCCCAGACGGAGAGCCAGGAGGGGATCCAGAGGCTGGAGGAGAAGCTGAGGGTGACGGCCAACCAGCTCCAGGCCATCCAGGCGGCCCGCTACACATCCCGTGATGCAAATGTGCGTGGCAGAGGAGAAACTTAGAAATCCAGATCCAAATATCAATACGCTGTCATTGCTTTGATTTAAACTCTCTTCACTTTGTTGTCCTTTTACAGGTGATAGAGGACAACGACATTTCAGATGAGAAGATGAAGCTGAAACAGAACATCGAAGGTATCAACGTCCGTTTATTTGAACTACAATATCATGAAAACACATCATTCATACACTTCAGTTTCTCTTTTTTCCTTATATGATTATATAAAATGTCAGTCAGTGACCAGCAGAGCACAGATTTGATATAGCGTACACTTAAACTGATATTGACGGTGTCTAAAACACGTCCACAGCAGTACATTGATGTACTCCCGTCTGTTTCTCCAAACTCTACTGTAGTAAAACTACTGAGAAGTACCTCATAAAACAGCCAAACTATCCCTTTCATCTCTATTTCATAATTCAAAAATCACAGTCTGTCGTCCCAAAAGAAAATCTGTCCACCAGTTATCATGTTGTTGCTAGGATTGTACGATGTCCCACTCCTACAGTAGGAGATGATGTGTAACTTTTAAACCTGCAGAATGCCCCTACGAGCCTGCATCAGTGCACTTGAACATTGACTTTTCCTGTTGTTGTGTTTTTTCTACAGAAACAACGGAGAAGTTGCTGAAAAGGGAGAAAGAGGTCTCCACTCTCACCTCCCAGGTCGAAGCCCTCAAGAGCCAGACGGGAGGTAAATGTCATTTTACAGAGCGCTCTTCTTCCATGACACAGACTCAGAGGTTTGACTTTGTTGACTTTTTAAATGGGCGCTACACACTGGTGTTTGGGTTAAACTAGTGACCGTGTTATCTGGTGACTCTGTGTCCGTGGTTGCTCGTAGCGGCGACATCTGTTGAAAACCACAACAGGACATGTAGGAATCCTCGTAAAAGCCTTCAATCAATTATAAATACAGACTCATCTGTGTTTGTTATCGACGCCGACCATTAAGTTACCACGAGCAACCACGGGCGCATTCGGCAGGAAAGTCACCAGTTAACAAGGCCGCTCGTTAAACTGAAACACCTGTTACTCTGAAATCTGTAACTTAAGTTGATTCTGACAACCGAACATGCAGCAAGCGCACATTTTGATGGCGGTAATGTTTAAAGCTCGATAACTCGTCTGGATGGCCGGAACATAACGCCATTTAAAAGGGGTCATAAAAACAGGGACAACAGTCATTGTTGTTTTATCAGTTTGCTATTGAACAAAACATTTCCTCATCAGCCAATTTGAGTTTTTGTTTTGGAAAAAATCTGACATATTTCTCAATAAATAAACTCGTTATCTGCGTCATATTTACATAATTGAGCCTCATTAGTGTCGTTCTTGCCCCTGTTAGTGCAGCGACTGCAGGCTTCACTTCATTCTTTGCACCAGTCATGCTGAGTTCACTGTGTTCGTCTTCACCGTCACATTCTTTGATCATCGCTCAGAAATCTGTCTTTTGAAAACCCTAAAGTTCCATCACTTCAAAAGGAGCCCAAACACACTTCATGTCGCTCAGATAATCAAATTGACACACGTATGAGAACAAAAAGACAGTGAATAATTCAAAGAGGGTAATAAAAAAAAAAAGAGAACTATATGAGACACAAAGGGGGAGAATAGTTTCATTATTCTGCTCTGTCAACCTCATCTGCACGGTTCAAGTCGGGGAGTAACCGGCGTTCTCCCACAAACTATAGCGCTAACAAAGAAGATGGTGGTCAGTGGTCATAGTGGTTATAGTTGTGAGAACTACATTATCGTGTGGTATCAACAGTTCATGAGGTGTTACTGATTATACATGTTGAATAAAGTGGAACTTCTTATTTCTCTTCCACCAGCACTGGAGGCCAAAGTTCGCTCAGGGGACAAGAAAGCCGAAGCTCAGGCCCAGGAGAAGATGCGCTTGGAGGCGGAGCTGGAGTCCATGACCAGGAAGTCCCATGATGCCTCTGGGCAGCTGGTCAATATCAGCCAGGAGCTGCTGAAGAAAGAGAGGTATGGAGACACGGCTTTATTGATTTCACAATCCGCCCCGGCACTCACTGGGAAAATAGAGCGACAAATCATCTCTCAGACAGAAATACAGCATATGATCAATTTGATAACGGACGGATACTGGGAGCCCACAGGCTATGTATTGATTTTAGTTTTTCTTATTGTCAACTTAACAATATTATTATTTCATTTTGTAATGTTCCATCTGGAACATTGGCCTTCATTGTATTAAAAGCTGAGCTAAAACCCAGTTGTATTTATGGATTTTAGTTCAGATTTTAATACAATAAAGAGACATATTCTCCTGCAAAGACTTAACTATTAACTATGTCCATGAATATTTAGCTTATTTAAATGTGACGATCATGTCTTGTCCCTATCTATGTGTGTGTATATATATATATATATATATATGTATGTATGTATATATTTATTACATTTATTATTATTTATATATATCCAGACTTATATCAAGCACTCTGTTGAAAAGGTTATTAATAATAACCGTCATTAATAAATGGTGAACTCATTTGACTATGGTTTCGTGGACACTTGAATGTCGAATGTGAAGGGGAACTGTGACTAGTTGTTAACGCAACTAAGAAGCAGCCACTTACTGAAGAGCAAAGAGAAACTCTTCTGTCCATCCATTGCACCCACAGTTTGCATTGATTCCTCCAGAAAGACGCTTTACACTGCCAAGAGCCACCACAAAGAGAAATGACTCCAAGAAATCATTTATCTCGAGCTCAGACGAGACACTACAGGCTAAAGCAGCGCTGTGCATGCTCCAATCAATTTACAGCTCATTTAGGCTATTTAGCTTCCGTCACACGTCTTCTTTCAGACGAGTGGAACGATTTATTTCACTACTTTGTCTGTTTGCGTCTGTAGATTTCTGCTAAATTCACCAAAAGTTACCATTAGATAAATCCTCATTTGCATATTCAAACATAACATTTCAGGAAACTTGTAATACAAAATATGATGATCTTAATGTGAGTGATGAACAGGGGCAGTTTCATGGTGATATCTGTTGTATATTATTTTACCCTATTCACCTGTAGATTGTGCATGTCTTATTTATAATACCACAAGGTTTCTAAAGTAAAGTTAAAGCTCAGCAGAAGTTGCACAATGTTTAATTATAATTAAGTAACAATGCACCGCGGTGCCATCAGGACACGGTTTTGTCCGAGCGGCTCTTTTCAGAGTTCTTCTCTTCGTCGTACAAGTTCAGCGTACAAACATATAAAACTTTAAACCCACGAGGGACACGACTTCTGTACCCAGGCTTTGCAGTAAAAAAGAAACACATAATGAAAAGTATTATTAAAGAGAAATACAAAGTAATTAACTTTATAAACAGCGAGATGAAGGCTTCTAGTTTAACAGCCAGAACCTCGTTATGAATATTCTGCTGACACCGATATGTGTGACGACTTCTTAATATCACCTGAAGGGTTTAGCAGACCTCAACAGCCCTGTGGTGTTCTGCTGAAAGCTAATGTGGTGTGTAATGTAAGCCTGAATGACCTCATCAATTTAAACTTCAAAAAGTCAAGAGATTAAATTCTGATAACTGAGAAATATTAAAATGAATATGATATCCATGTTAAAACAGGACGGCTTGTCTAGACTGCCAATTCTATTCCTGTAACAGGCCGCCTTCTTATTTTTATTGTGTAACTTTTTTAACTTATTAATCTTGAAGTCACAGAATCTCTGCTGAACTCGTCCTGCATTCAAAAAGTACGCAGTCAAACAAACAAAGAGCTAATAGAGCGCCGGGGTGAAGAAAACACAGAATCTGTCAGAAAAGACACGTATCTACTATGAACGATTGTAACATTTGAAAAAAATACACAATACCGACTGAGAATTGCATTTAAAGTTCTTAAAAATAATTATTCAAAGAAATGATCTGCTCAGAAATTCATCCAAATCGTTCGTTTTACACAAACGTCCTGCGGTTATTGCGTTCACTGTTTGGGTTAATTGTACACTTAATGAGTTGTTATGTAATGTTGTTTTTATGCATTGAAGATAAAGTTATATAATATACATAAAATATATTGCTTAGTTCCAAATCTTACACTTTTTCCTTCTTACTTTCAGTTCAGCTGCGCTCACAAAATGTTGCATGTGGTTTGCATTCAGTTGGGACACGTTACTTCATCACAACGTGGCACCTTTGACCCTCTTGCTCGTACGTCTGCAGCCCCAAAGGATTGTGGGTCAGAACATACTGCAGAATGCGACCGGCTGCAGTAGAACATCCTGGTATTTTGTCATTTGACATACTATGTATTTTCATGGCGCACTAAATAGTCTGGTCCTAGAACAGCTGATCTTTTTCCTCCTGAGTTTATGGATCAGCCAGCAGACGGAAACCAACTCAGAGCTGCCAGACGTCCACATCGCTCCCAAAGCCGTGACAAATCTGGTTTTATTTAGTGAAACTCTGATAGTCGAGTTCATTATTTATCCGCCCAACTTGTCCCAACAACGTCGCAGACGTGGGGAGCTTTATTAAACATAGAAGTCGATGCATTTTTCTGTGAAGCTGAATGAACATATCACATTACTGGCTCTCTTGCATGATGTCGTTCGTACATTATTGATGGTTATGATGTCACTAAATGCAATGAGCCACTCAAAATAAGTGCTTCTGGCTACAGCTGAATATTTTCTTTTGTGCATCACCACCGCAGCAATTATGTTGGATGCAATAAAATTATATAGCATCGCTTGAAAAATTCAGTGTGTGGCCCCCTTTTGAGTTGGTGTTAGTGAGAGTGGACGGTGGTGTTATTAGCGCCGCTGCTGCTATTTCAGTCCGTGACGTCCTTTTAGGGGAAAACAAGCTAGTTCATCGCTTCAGGACAGTCGGCTCAGAACACATTTCTATCTTTGGAGGATAATTCAAGGAAGCCAATTACTAGCAAGTTCATGTAGTAGAAGACATAATGATTTTCAGAAGAAACAATAATACGGTCCAATATAACTAAAAGGTCTTGTAGGAAACCATTATCAGCAACGATAAAGCAAGGAATGTCTTGTCTGTGTGTCCTTCGCATATCTCGAGAACCGATCATCCGATCTACTTCACACTTCCCGGGTGTTTTGCTGAGGACTCCGTGGAGTGCTCTGTCGAATTTGGTGCAATTTGGACACACAACTCATTCGATATTAATACAGCCGTGGCTCATTGACTGCAGCTCACTTTGGCTGCTGGATGCTGGATATACTGACCTCACAACCAAACTCTAAAAAAGCCACGTGCAACTAAGCCACGCCCCCTGACAGCGCAGTAAGCAGCAATACCAAGCGCCGAGCAATAGGGTCGTCCGGAACGGGCACGGCACTAAAATACCCGTTACATATACCACTTTCCTTAAACATGCAGCTTCTTAGTGTTTTTTGTCCACTAGGGGGCAGCAGAAATAAGCTGCAAACATATTATCGCCTTATAAACTCGACAAGTAAACACTTACACTGTTAGAGGCTTTAACATATTCAGCACACAGAGAAAAATCTGGTCAGGAGGAATTCTTGATGCTCTCACTTGGGAGGTGCACAAATGTTAAAGTAGCCACCTCCTTTGTGTTTAACGTGGCCAACACAAAGGAGACCACAGTGATGTGGTTCACTCATATTAGTATGTGGGCAAACAGCCAGAAGATGCACAGTGACCACGACAACAAGGGCATCCATCCACCAGCCAGTCTGACACAGACAGAGATGAGGCCGCCTCCACAATCCCCACCGGCCAGACTGGCTAATATATTATTCACATCATGGGTGTTAAATGATAACGACCTTTGTGCAAGGTCCGAGCAGATGTACGAGCCACATAATCGATGTTTATTGCCCACCGGAGTGGTCAAGTTCACGGCAAACACTCGTGGAAAATGAATTCTATTTGTCTGAGTAATACCAACTGGTTTTGTTGTGTTCTTCCTTCGTGTTCTCTCCAGGAGTCTGAACGAACTGAGGGTGTTACTCCTGGAGTCGCATCGCCATTCCCGGGACATGGAGAAAGACCTGAACCGAGAGGTGCACAAGGCCGAGTGGAAGGTGAAGGAGCAGAAACTCCAGGACGACATCAAGACCCTGCGTGAAAAACTGCTCCTACTGGTGAGAAGGGAGCGGCTTTGTGACGATCAGCTGACGCTGCTTAGTTTTACAGGAATGGACAGACGGACAACCTGAAAACATGTTTCTGGCCACATAGTCGCGGGCACAGTGCACGGTGCAACAAAATAACTGAGAAAGTTAGAAACGTTGGTCTGGAGTCCTGTAGAGGCATACAGCTTAATGCCAGCTGAATGCTGTCTTTGTTTTCTTTTAAAAACTTATTGTCAAAGACATTTTATGCCAACATTTTGCTTTAAAATATATCTAGAAACATTATTATATAATTGTTTTTGCTCAATTATTCAGCTACCCAATAGTGCATCTGTTTAATAACTGATTCAGTTGTTTTTAAAGCTGTAATGGGGACTTATCACGGCTATAATGAGAAGTATAGTGCTGGACACTCTATGTTTACACAGACTGGTAGTTTAAATATTGACTGTATAATCTGTGCCAGCTGAGATGATCCATAAGAGGACATTTAGTATGTTTAAATATGAAAATGTGAAAAGTGTATGGTAATCATTTCTCCCCCAGATGTTAATCACACATCCTGCAGCGTGGTGGTGTAACAGCAGGCGTTGGCTGACGTCTTCTAATGGCTAACGTGTGTGTGTTTCAGGGTCAGGAGCGGTCTTCACCTGACCACCGGCGGTACTCCATGCTGGACCCGTCTGTCCTGGACTCGGAGGTGAGCCGCCTCCGCCAGCGTTTGCTCAGCACGGAGGACGCCCTGAGGAACGCCATGGACCACAACCAGCAGGTGGACCAGCTGGTCCTGGCCATGCGCAGGCATCCAGATAAAAGCCCGGTAAAAGTTCACTTTCACAGATTCAACGCAGGAAAGCATGAAAATGTTTTTTTATATGTGGTAGCTTGGGAAGAAGTAGCCGTGTCAGAAGAGAGTAGCATCAAAAACAGTCCTTTAATTTCACAGTTAAATAATCCCTGACTGTGTTTTTCAGGTTCATGGTGCCAATTCAGCCAATGGGATTCATCATCAGGAGTTGGGCAGCGCTCGAGATGTTGGTATTCTGTCTTAATTTTTAAAACTATTATAGAAGTAGTGATATCGTTAATGCGTTCCAGTGCTGAGACATCTTGTGTTTTTGTTGGTCTTCTCAGGAACAACACTGATATGAGCAGAAGAGACGAGACTGAACCGGGACATGCGGAGGTCCGTCTTCTTCATGTTCCTCCTGATCCTGCCACGGACGCCTGAAGAAGATTTCAGTTTGCAGTTTTAATACCAAAACAACGAATCTCTTGTCTCCGAGTGAATTTATGTGTCGTTGCAGAAAGCACCTGTTAGCCAATCACGAGGGCCGCTTACAGTACTATAAAATATACACAGGAAATGGGACATGGACGTGAAGAGATGTTATGGGTACAACTCCTGAGACCTTTGATGCTTTACAGTAGTTTAGAAAAAATGTCAATCCGCAAGTTGCCGGGAACTCTGTGACAATTCTTAGTTTTGAATCGGAAAGAAAACAGCTGACGGACGACGATGTGGAGAACTGAAGGGACTTTGTTTTATTTATTGCTTTTACTTTGATCCTTGACCAGCGGTACTCAGAGCGACTCCTCGAGGAAAACTTCAACTGTTATTTTCTCTTGACTTCGTACCTGATTGAGAGAATTGGTCTGTTCACTCTCCTGCTTTCTTGTACAATATGATGAGTAATTGTGGGTTGATGGAAGTATTAAAAAGGCCCTTTAAAGTGATTCTGACTAATAAAATCTGTCTTTTGATTATAAAACACAAACACAGAAGGCTTGCAAAGTAGCTGGAAAAAAAAAAAATAGGGGTTTCATCGTTCATCAGGTGGAATCCATTTGTGTCTTTTGGTCGGATTTTTTGGCTAAAACATCCACAAAAACCTTCTCAAGCACTTCCTGCAACATAATCCACTTCTCCAGTCTCCATCCATGCGAGTCTGTTCCAAATACTTATTGTTTTTTTCCACCAGTATACAGAAAAATACTGTCTCAATCCTCACGTACCTGTTGATACTAAAAACTCCTGACTGCACTGTCAAGAGCAACTTAGCGTATTCTTAAAGTATCCTGAATTCATTCATTCAGATTTGGGTCTTTAAAGGTGCGGTGTGTGATATTTAGAGCGATCTATTGGCAGAAATGGAATATAATCTTGATAAGAATGTTTTCTTTAATGTATAATCAACATGCCGTCTTGATTCGCACTGTGCACTGTCAACAATTTACTTGCTAATTTCAGAAAAACTGTCGAAATAGTATAAAGAAAAAACAACTCTTTTTAATGCAATCTGAAACATGATTGTATCAACATTTTCTAACACAACACGCAAAGAGACGGAGAAGCAAAGACGAGTTTTATTTCCACTATCACGCTTATATAAGACAAAGAAAACACTACAGGAAACTCTTATCCAGTTTCTTGTCAGCCGAGTAGAATAATTGCTTTAACCCCTCGGTTCACTTAATTATCACACACTCTGTTGCTGTGGTTACTTGCAGTCTAATAAAGGCTGAACTATCATGAGACCCAATTTAGAAACAGTGGTTAAAACTATTGACTTGATCTGTGTTTCACAATTCATTTCTGTGCCAACGACAACACGGCTCGGGCCAAACTTCTCTTAAAGGTACAGTGTGTAACATTTAGAGGGATCTATTGGTAGACATGTATTATTAATATGTATTCTTTAGCGGATAATCTCTGGAAAATAAGAACCATTGTGTTTTTCTCACCTTTAGAATAAGCAGTATTTGTTGGCACACAGGAGAAGTTTTGGTTAGTTGCATTCTGCCACCTCGCCGATAGATGGCGCCAAATCCTACATACTGCACCTTTAACGCTGCCACAAGTTCATTGTGCGTCACCAACAACTGCTTATTTTAATGTATTCTTAATACTCCAGGTGTTCAACCACCAATCCTCTCTTTGGTTATCAGGTATGGTTGCTATTGGGCCAATATTCCTAAAAAAGTAGTCCTTTTTTTAGCCATTTCACATCAGTGGACTTCCTGCCAGCTCTGAGTTATGTTATTCTATGTTTATTAAATGATTATAGGGAATTATTCCAGATTTTTGTTTTCTCAAACCCTATCCGACCCTGTACCGTTAACACCTCTTACCACTATTTATCTGCTATTTTATTTACTGTAGACTTCATGTCAGCACAGACTCCGTCCATACACTATTAATTAGCATTACAACAAAGCAGCCCTATTTAAGGGCTGTCACAGGAGCAAAACATGTTGCACTCATCCCTCCCCGTCTGGATTTCATTTGCAAAAACATTTAATAGAATTTATACTGTAAATCTTACAAATATTGTTTTTTTTAATCCATAACTAATAGGAGACCCTGTTTGTAGTTGGTCATGTAGGTTGCTGTTGATGCACAGGAGACACTACAGGCGCTGGTCAGCTCAGATAAAAAAATAAAGCCTAAATTTTCCATTGGATATTGTACATGGCCTATTCAGCTGGGAGGGTTCATACCCTTTGGGTTATTGCTGCAATGGTTTTGGAGATTGAGTCATTAAATATTAACAATGTGGGAAAAGAGCTGGTGGTGTTTTATTTCACACTGTCACGTCTGTATGTTTGTTCTTTGGAGGGCACAGGAGACTGGTCTGCAGCCAGATTTCATACCACCAAGAGGCTGGTGGTTTGGGAAAATCTGCCAGCAAACAATGTATCCAATGCTCAGCAACAAACACAAGATAAAACAAAATCCTGTTGGAAATCTCTCATCTCAGGCAAATATTTTGGGATTAAAATGACTCCCTGAGAAGAGGAAGCTATAAATCTTCTTTTTTTTTGAGCACCGAGCCCCTGACACCCAGACACTGCATGTTTATTTACAGTCTGTGGGTTTCTTATCTCCACACATATCACTTCTAGTTGTTGGCCTTGGCAAATGTCAGGTCTTATCCACACGTCCCAGGTTTATTTATTATTTTATGCTGGAGGGCAGATTAGTCATGCTGGTGACATTTGAATAAATAAGTGATTATTATTTGCAGAAGCAAGCAAATAAAGTAAAAGTAGGCACAAATCACAATTTATTTTATATAGTAGTTTATATATAGCTGAAACTAACCCGATTACCGTGATGTAGCCGATGATATACATGGTTTATGATTAGGTTTATCATACGTTTATTATTAGATCACTTTTTTCCCTTTACCTATATATTAAACTGTTAAGCTATGTTATAATCACAAGAGCTGTGTAATAACTGTCATGGCCAGAAGATCCATTTTGGCTGCAAATCCTAAAAAGTCATTTTTGGATATTATAAAGTTACAAATATCGCATGAAAACCACCTTCGTGCAGGAAGTCTGAGGGATTTCCCTTAAAGCATAAATGACAAGTGTGAAGTTGCAGCCAAGTGTGGCAGAGATGGTGATTTAAACACTCGCAGTCCGAATAAAAATAAATAATAATATCATATTTCCTTTCTATGTAAATTGGATTCCCTGAAGGGTATTTTCCAGAGGTTCCCTCCGTTAATCCTGTATGTAAATCGCAGCCAATAGATGCTGTTGTTGAGTTGGGCTGGGATTAGCAGGAGGCGAATGAGTTTCAATTTTACTGGATTACAGAACAAAGAAAGGGGGAAAGGGACACTCTGCTTCTGGTTAAAGGGGGCACAAAAAAGAAGAAATAAACTAAGAATAAATACACAACTAATAGACTGTAATACGATCGAAGTCAACAGTGTGATGATCCGGATTACGATGTTTTAGCAGACAGCTAACATTGTGGATGGGAATTGCGACTTGATGGATTAAAACGGGGGGAATAAATAAACCTATTCCGGGATTTTGACAGCAGCAACAAGGCTATTTAATCGCTAATTAAGGTGAGATTTCGCCGGACCGTTTTTAATATTCATTCAATGAGCGATTATATAGTTTGCTCTCACGGAGCGTGTTGCTTTTTCCTGATTTGTACATGTAGAAATGTACAGATTATAACCGTAATTTCTCCGGACTGAGAGGTGGGAGAGAGAGGGAGAGAGAGAGAGAGGAGATGAAAGGGAAAAAGTGCTAGCGCTAAACTAGCAAGCGAGCTAACGAGTGTAAGCTAGGCTAGTTTAGCTAGCCGTTGGGCTAGTTTAGTTAGCCGTTGGGCTAGTTTATCTAGCGGTTGGACAAGTGTAGCCAGCCGTTGGGCTAGTTTAGCCAGCCGTTGGGCTAGTGTATCTAGCGGTTGGACAAGTGTAGCCTGCCGTTGGGCTAGCTTAGTTAGCCGGTTGGCTAGTTTAGCCAGCCGTTGGGCTAGTTTAGCTAGCCGTTGGGCTAGTTCCAACGGTTATTATGAGACCGTTAGGCTAAATCAGTCAGCGTTGATTAACGTTAGGCGTTACGTGACGGTAAGTAGCGAAGAAAGGTTATTGTTAGCTAGCAGTTAGAGGGACGTCTCCGTGTAACCTTGTGAGAGCTAGTCCATCTGTCTGTCTGTCTGCTAAATTACCCCCCCCCCCACACATATATATATATATATATATATATATATAATGCTAACACTGATAAGGTTACCGAGCTAGAACAACAAAGCCAACTAACAGCTAACTAAATAACTAAACGTAGCAAAGGTAAGCCAGAGAAGGAACAAACATAGTTTGAACTTCAGCAGAATAGAAAGCTTGTAACTAACAAGAGTTAATTCCAACCGTATTAAACTGTAGTAAACAATGGATTACTTAATTGCCTTATCGTTAATTACACCCCTGTACTAACAGTATGAACGGCCACAGCAGTGTTTCTTCAACTAAAACAGACATTTCTTCGATAAAGCAGACTCTAAATTGTTTGGTGTGTGTTGCTGTGAATCCAGTCAACTGTATTTAAGAGGGCTGTTTTCTTATTTACTGCTCTCAGCTGTCTGGTTGTAACGTAGTTGGTACAAGAAGCGTCAAAGCTGACTGGGATACAACTTTAGTCAGCTGTCTGGCGGATTGAATTCACAACACGAGGAAAAAATAAGAGATTTGTACACACGCTCATTTCCTTTTGGAAGAGCAGACCTTGACTTTATTTTATTGCACCCAGGTCTCATATCCTGTGGTTTCAAGCCTCTTTTTTGTTGTCTCCTGGGTCCAGCTTTTCTAAAGTAGTTCCCCCCTCTTCTCTCATGCGATGTGTACTTAATAGTAGTTCTCCTGCTTGCATTTCCCAGCACAAGAAGTTCTCACCACAACTCTCTGTGCCTTAAAACATCTTGCATGAGTACAGTACCACGCCAAAACATCTTGCATGAGTACAGTATCACGCCAACATATCTTTCATATGTATAGTACCACGCCACGATATCTTGCATGAGTACAGTATCATGCCAAAACATCTTGCATGAGTACAGTATCATGCCAACATATCTTTCATATGTATAGTACCACGCCACGATATCTTGCATGAGTACAGTAC